ATTTATTAATATTTCTTGTATACATCAATAGCACATTGTTTTTACATTTTTCATCAAATGTATTTACATAAAGTTATATAATTCTTAGTTGTGTGTATTACATCATTGCCAAATGCAATTGTTCTATTTTTATAATAATATTTCTCTGAACAATGTTAATTACATGATTATGAAATTGTTTTCATTCTTTGTACTACTTATTTGTATTACTTATTTGTATATTATGTACTTCATACTGATTTGACTTACATTAAAGTTTATATTATTTAGTCTGTAAAGAACTTATATATTAATTATAGTTAATTCTTTACTTTTTTAGAAACTAAAGAAATTAATGCTTAAATATCTCATTTCAGATTGCAGAAGATGATAGACTACCAAAATGCCTATGTTACCGCTGTATGTACAATTTGGAAAATTTCTATGATTTTAGAACAGCGTGTGTTAATGCAGTGGCCCTCTTGGAAAGGTGTTTACCACCTTCAGAATTGGTAAAATTAAAATTTGTTTGATCATTTTTAAATCCTTTTCCTTTTTCATTAAAATTATTGAGTGCCTGCTACATTTTTGTTTGTTTGTTTAGAATGGAGATGTTACAACCACATTGACATATTATAATGATTCAGAGCTCTTTAAGGCAAAAGAGAGTATACCAGTATTGATTCCAGAGGCTCCAATTGTAAATCCAAATGCTGCCTTAGGCACACCACCCAGATTAAATTCTGATGGGGAAGCTGATCATGAAACAGAAGAAATTGTTGATAACAGTGGTACAGATGAAGGTACTTCTTTATTTCATTTGATATAAAATCTTTATTCCATTAAAGAAAGTAAGTAGTCATATTTGAAAACTAAATGTAATATAATAAAATTATAAAATAATTCTGTTTTTGTTTAAGCAACAATAGTAGATGATTTTGAAGATCGTCGTTCAGAAGAGTATGAAATGGATATGGAAACAAATCCAAGTGACTTTTTAGAAATGACTTCAATGGTTACAGAAGAACCTGAAGAATCACAATTGAGACATCAGGAACTTTCCAGTAATTTACCAGAGGTACACATTATATTTATATGTATTCAAAGAAAAGGAAACAATATGTAATATAATTAATAATACTTCATCATTTACCTTATTATAGCACACATCTCAACAGCATGAAGTATATGTTTGTTCCTTGTGTAACAAAGCATTTAGTTCAAAAGGTCATTTGTCTTTACATGCACGTATTCACGTGGGCGCTGGTGATGTGATCGGTGAAAAAGTTCTTACAGATGATCATACATCCTATAAAAGACCCTATCAATGTGATCTTTGTCATAAATCATATTCTACGGCGAAACATCGTTGGGGTCATGTTTCTACAACTCATAGGTTTGTTTTTTTTGTTTTATTAAAAAGTTAATGTTATGTTGCATAGATGCACGTTTTCGTACTTTTGTTTCTACTGTTACAACAATGAAAAAAAAGTAAAGAAGTAAATAAGAACAACTCTAGGGAGTAATTAACACAATATACTGGGCGAATTTAAAGAAAAACTTTTTTTTAATTAATGAAGTTATATATAAATTAAGGAAATTAATTTTAAAATGCATGGAGATATACAATACATACTTATACCATAATAATAGTGATAATAACAATGATGAGATATTAATCTTTGTATTAGAGGCCATCCGGCAGTGACATGCGGTTACTGTTCCCGGATCTATTCAACCCGAACAAATTTAGAAGAACATATAAAATCGCGTCACGCTGGTCTTCCAGCACCTACAGAGGTTGCAATGAACAACATCTATCGTTCGGAAAATAGATGTCAATGTAATGTATGTGGAAAGATTTGCACGGATGCCATGGAATTGAATCTTCATGGTAGGATTTGTGCTGAAGGACAGAGATTGGATCATCCAGGGAAAAGTGAGAGTAGGGATAATAAAATCGTGGATAGTTCTGAAGCTTCAAGTATCGGTAGTGACGATGATGGCAAAATTTTATCAAAATATTTTAAATATTTTAAATTTATTTAAATAAACAACATATTTATATATTCACTATTTAGAACTGCAGAAGCTAAATTAGCTAAGAATCCTCAGTTGACAATTTTAAAACAAGCATTAACGAAAGGAGATAGCCTTAAACGAGATTTTGAAGACAAGTTTACAACAAATTGTAAACCTCAAAAGCTACCGAAAACAGGTAATATATATATTAAATCGCACATTTTTTATTGCAAATTAGGATAATATTCATACAAAAATATAAGATATAAAGTAAAGTTTGGATACAATGAAATTTAATTTCAAGAATTACTTTTTCTTTCATTTAACAGAAAACACTAATATTCAAAACACTAAAAAGTGGTACTGTGAATCTTGTCCTCAGTCTTTTACTTCAGTTGAGGATTTGAAAGAGCATGAAGCAGTTCATGATGCTGATAAGCCATACATTTGTATTCTATGTAAAAAAGATTTTGTCCTGAAGTCTTCCTTAAGCAGGCATATTCAAACATTACATGGTGTTGATCCACTACCTATAGTAGAAAGTGATAAATGTCTAAAAAAAATTCTTTCACAAAATTGGAATGAATCTATGGAAATTGATTTGTATTTTTTTTTTTTTTTTTTTGTAGATAAATGCAGAAAATGAAGACGATCATGAGAGTGGACAAGAAAATCTCATTGAAATTGAAACTGTATTTGTTTGTGAAATTTGTACTCGCGATTTTAATGATCGTGCTTCTCTTTGGCTTCATATTCGAGCTACTCACAAAGAATTTGCGGCATTTGCATGTGGCGTTTGTTTAAAAATTTGTGCAGATAATACACAACTTTTGAATCACGTAAATATGTACCATGGCGGTTCAAAATTACTACTTTCTGAACAAAGAAGGTACTTCTTTTAATTTATGCAAATACTACTTAAAAATAGAAACAAACTTGTAAACATTTTTATTTGTATTATTAATAGGTATAGTTGTACCATATGTGGCAGACAACATGATTCTAGAAAAAAGTTAATTGCACATGTGTCTATACATAATGTGGATCCAAATTATGATCCTGCAACTTTTGTTCAGTTGAACAGTAATTATTATGGAGAGAATATTAATGGCAATGAAACAGCAGAACAAATGCTTGATTATGAGGAAGATGGAGATAAAGTGGATTGTTATATTTGTTATAAATCATTTCCTAATGAAGATCATTTAATACGACATCAAAGAAATGCACATAGGGTAGGAATACAAAGAATAGAAATTTTTTCCTTGTTCTTTTCTTTAAAAAGTAAATATATATTTAAAAAAATGTTATTTTATAGTCTGAACAACTAGTGCCAACAGGAGATTCTTTAAATCCATCGAGTTTAAATGGTGGTGGAAATAGAGCTCAATATCATCTCTTTTTTGTTTGTGAACTTTGTGGTAGTTCACATCCTAGTAAATGGGAACGTTGGTTACATGTTAGTTCTTCTCATAGTAATGAACCAGCTATAAAATGTGATCGTGAAGATTGCGGTAAAATCTTTGCCACAAAATCTCTTAGAAACGAACATATTCAACATCACGCAATTCAAGGCTCGTCCCCAAATACATGTGAAATTTGCGGTAAGCTTTGGGGCAGTAGAGTTGATTATTGGAAGCATGTTATGGGTGTTCATTCGGATACTGTTCCATTGATTTGTGGTGTCTGTCTAAAAGTGTTTCCAAATGTTTTACAATTAAGTACTCATGTCAAATCGAAACATTGGCCGTTAACAAATGGTGATTTTAGTTGTGACATTTGTGGTAGACCATATTCGAATAAATCCAAAATGTCTAGACACAGAAAAATTCATGGTTTTGAAGAGAGTTGCGACAACGGAGCAGAAAATAACGAGAACAAAGTAGACGGACGAATGAGAGAAACTGAATTAAGTTGTGAACTCTGTGCAGATTTAATGTTTAATAGTTTAGAAAAATTGTGCAATCACAGGCGAATTGTTCATGGACTTTTCCCTTGTGATCTCTGCAACAAATGTTATGGAAGAACTTCACATCTGTGGAAACACGTAAATAGAGTTCACAAAGGACATGAAGATGTAACTTGTCCTTATTGCTTAAAAACTAGTGCATCAAAAGATCATTTAGCAGCACATATTTCAAAAATTCATAGATATGAACCTGATTCCAGAAAAGATGGAAAAGATAATAGACAATTTAAAACTGAAGAAGTTAGTTTACATTATTGCGAAAAATGTAATAAAGGATTCCACAAACGATATCTTTTACGTAGACATATGAAGGGATGTCAGAACTACAGGAAAGATCCTGGAGCATTATTAACAAGATGTAGAGCTTGTGAAAGAATATTCAAAGATCGCGCTAGTTTACAAAAACATATTGAGAATCATCATAGCACATACACGTGTCATCTTTGCAATGAGACAATTATCTCAAAACTAGGAATTATGACACATAACAGAGTGAAACATATGGATCATCCAGATTTAACTTGTAATTTTGGATCTTGTAAGAAGTTATTCAGAACGAAGGAAGATTTAGAGGCCCATAAAAAGGATCACAGGTAAACTTTAATAACAATTGTTAATTAATATATAGATTGTATTCAACACTCTCTGTATCTTTGTTAAAAGAAAAGTATTACATACTACTAGCAATTAATTATGGTTCATTTTTTTGTATCTAGGTATCATACAACTCCTAATGTCTGTGACTTCTGTGGTGATACTGTTGAGAATAAACTTAAATTAAAGATGCATGTGTTGTCTCTTCACCGCAATGAAATTGGTGTTTCTTGTGGAGTGTGTTTAATTCCAATGAAGGATCCGAAAGAACTTAAAGGCCACGTAGAAGAAGTCCATTCCGGTGTCCTCTCAAAACCTAATACATGTCAAGTTTGTGGGAAACAGTATGCCTCAAAATGGAAAGCTTTCGATCATACTAAAAAGTGTCATGGGAAAGTATTTAGGACCTGTAAACAATGTTTAGCTGTTTTTACTGAGGATTCTGCAATTCGGGATCATTATGAAACAGTACATAATATTTCCAAAGATCAGCTTGCTGCATTTGAATACAGATTAGATATCAGGTCGAAAAATGAAGATTTTGAAGTAGAGGTATGTTAATTATGAAACGCTTATTAAAGTTAAAATACACTACATTTAGACAAAAATTAAAAATTGAAAGTGTAATTAAATGAATGTTAAATTAAATATTATTCATTTGTTAGTCTCCCGATATAATAGTTAAAGAAGAACCGGAAGATTTGGAATACGATGTAGATATCTGTGATGAGGATTCTAGCGATTCAAAAAGAAGAAGGTCTTTAACAGATACCTTTGACTGTGAAATGTGTCCTGAAATGTTTGTGAACAGTGATGCACTTTCAAAACATTATCGAAACATGCATAATACAGATCCAGAAAGAATGTTTAAAAGGTTAAAACAAGATGAACAAAGAAGAATGCGTGGAAAAATGAACTTCTTTTGTAAGAATTGTAAAAGACAATTTTGCACGAAAACAATGTATTGGAATCATGTTGCAAATTGTAGAAGGAATATTATGCGGAAAGAAGTAAGAAATATTTCATTTTGTTCTTCGGTAGAACCGTAGCGCAATTTCTGATAAAAATTGTATACAAACTAATTTTGTACTAATCCAAGAATTGTTTGTTTGCAGGAAGAACTTTTACCTTTACGGTCTGACATGTTAAGTAATCGGGAAGAACTTTTGAAAAATAATAATCAAATTAAAAAAGAAGAACCTACATCTAATTTGAATATACCTGATTTTAATCTCTTTGAAGATATAAATCTTCAACTGTCAGGTCAGAGACCACTTCCAAATCTTATGCCGCTCTCTCAAAGGTACATATTAAAAAATTTGAAATAGTAATTATTTCTTTATATCCTATTAATATTTAACCTTAATCTTTTAGAGCGAAATCAACAATGAAATGTTCAAGAAAGGATTCCAGGAAAGTATATGATGAATCAACAAATACAGAATGCGCTTGTGAAGTGTGTGGAAAACAATGGCCAGCAAAAAAACACTTATGGCAACATCTAATTCGTTTCCACCGAGCAGAAGCGGCAGTTACTTGTGGAGTGTGTTTAAAACTTTGCAAGGATTATGATGATTTGGCTGAACATTTGAAAGCTGCGCATGAAGCAATACTTTCATGTGAAGGAAACAATTTTACTTGCAAAACTTGTGGCAGGTATTGTGCTTTGATTAATTATATGTATTATATTATTATTTTTATGATATATAAATATAATTTTGTATTTGATAGGTATCATAATGCACGTAGTAAATTGTTACTACATACAAGTATTCACATTGGACATGCAGGTAACAGCACTTGGTGTCCAAAGTGTAGGAAAAATATTACTGATGAAGCTGCTCATATAAATAATTGTCTTGGGAAGACAGAAGACGAAGAACCATTGAAAAATAATGAGAAAGTAGAAGTAAGTAATTACAAGAATAGAAAATGATAAATATACTTCAATTAATGGATCGATTTAAATTTGCTTCTAATTTTTATTAACAGGAAAGTCTAATAGCGGATGATACGATGATTGAAGAAGTAGAAGAAGGAGATTTTGAATCAGAAGCAGAAGAAGGAGACACAGAAGAATCGGAAAGTGGTAGTAGTACCGAAGTTGAAGAAGAAAATGAGTCAGAGGGTGAATCTAGAGCAACGGGGGAAATTACTTACAATTCAGAAAGTGAAGATTCCGAAGATTTAAATTTAGAGATTGAAGAAAAGAGCATGCAACGCTATACTTTGGAACACCTTCAGGAAACCAAAAATGCAGGTAATGAAGTGATCGATTAAAAATTTAGTAACTTCGTTTATTTATTAGTTGACAATTGAAATAAAATAAGATTTAATTACGTATGCCTTTAACAATTAATTAAAAATAATAAATCAGTAAATGTTTTATAATTGTTTCAGAAACAGTAAAAAATACAGATGTATCGGACGACGATGGACCTCCAGTTCTCAGCCCTATAATGCCTTTGCTTCCTGAAAATATGTCTGTAGGACAGACATTGGGCCATAAACTTGTTTCTATAGTATCTCTAACTGGAAAAGAAATGCAAATACGTAATCTCTCAGAGATTCGAAATCAATCTTCTCCAAAATCAGTAAATCTGTATGAAAAACGTTTAACTAATAATGAATCCTTGGATTTTGAATCGGAAACATTTATAAATCGAAGCGACGAAGACTTTGAAGATACAAAAAATGAATTTGATGAAAATTCTATTGAAGAAAATGAGGATAATGAAGAGATCGAAGAAAATGACGAATACGAGAATGAAGAAAATGTGGAAAATGAAAATGGAGATATTGAAGACATTGAGGAAAATGAAGAGATTGAAGAGAATTATGACATTGAGAAGATAGAAGAAAATGAGAATAATGAAGATATCGAAGAAGTTGAAGAAAATGGAGAACTTGAAGAGGATAAAAAAATCAGAGAAATTGAAGCAACAGAAGAAAACGAAAGCAATGAAGAAATTGATGAGGTGGACGACAATAAAAGAATTGAAATCGAGGAGATGGACGACAATGAAATAAATGAAGAAAGTGATGATACGGATGAACACGAAGAAAATGAAGAACTAGAAGAAAGTGAAAATGATGAAGATATCGAAGAAGTTGAAGAGGACGAAGAAAATGGAGAATTTGAAGGAACAGAAGAAAACGAAAGAAATGAAGAAATTGAGCAGGTGAACGTCGATAAAAGAAATGACGAAATCGATGATACAGACGAGCACGAAGGACATGATGAAATTGAAGAAACAGAAGACAGTGAAGGAAATGAAGAGAGGGAAGAAAACATGCAACTGGATGATCTAGCAGGTGCTGTTTTAATGGTAGCCGAAGGAGATCAAATACTAATTCCGCAAGGAATGTTGGAAGATGAAAATGAAACTTCAAGTCAAGAATACGTTTATTCTACATTTAGGTACAGTACAGAAGAGGACAGTGACGATGCAAGGAAATGAGTGCCAAATTGAGATTAAATAACTTGAAAAAAATAGGAGGTGAGACAATTGTTAGATGATTGAAGAATCAAGAATACGTGGAAATGAGTTCAATAAAAATTAAAATTACTGAAAATTGAATAAAAAAATCTGGTCTAGTTTAAAAATAACTAAAATTAAATAATATTTACAAAACGGGTCGTTTATAAAATAGAATATTCTATTTAAGATAATAAGTAATATGAAACATTAAATAATATAAAAATTTTTACTTGAAATGCTTCAAATTTCAAATGCTTAACGAGTTCTATGAAATAGTTCAATTAATAATTGAAATCAAGATATTAGAAACCTAGTGAAATACTTTTAAAATGGATGTTTCTTTGAATTATACTACAAGAAAAATGATCAATACCGTAAAAAAAATTATTATTGGTATAAAATTTTCATTTTAATTCTTTTTAGTTAATGTCATACGAAGCATGTCCACGTATTCCTAAAAACGATCAAAGATAATTGGAATTTGTATTGCTTTATTCTGTATAAAAAGTACAGATGAATTATTACGTGATATGTACCTTAGATGTTATGAGAATTCATACTGACGATGCGATAATTTGTACATATGTTAGATTAAGTGGTAAAAGTAGCTTTCGCGAATTTTATGATAGGGGATTGTTCTTTTATTATTTCAAGCAAGAGTATATTATAAAAAAAAGGTAAGATAAATACAAAACAGGAAGAGAGCTTAATTCATTGCAACATCTTGTAACCTCAAAATTTATACGATGAATGTAGAGGCATTGATATAAATTAAAAATGACCAATAGCTAGTGTGATATAATAAAGGAACTGTCCCTGAGCTCTTAGGCGACTTATTTAAGTTTTTACCAATTTCGACTTCGTAGCCGCAAAAAATCCGATATGACCTCGAATTAATTTGAGGTAATTCGATCGGTATCGATATTTGATGTTAAAAAATTTTTTTATAAATTTTCTCAAACAAAAAAATAGTACAAAGATAGCAATATGCAGAGTCTATGATAATATTAGGTAAATAATTATCATTATGAAAATTACAAAATTTTTGAAATTATATTAAATTATA